GAAAAATAAAGTGTTACTGTTTCTTATTTGTTGAAGGTTTAAGAGGAAAGACTACAACATAATGAACTAATTCATCACAATACCTAAAAACTGTGACTTCACTTTTTTGAAAAATGAAATGGTCTTTCCTTTTACTCCCGATCAACAATCAAACATCTTTTCTTGAATTATGAATAACACGAAAGGATTGAAATATTTAATTAAATTATCTCAAAATAAACCTTTATTTCGGTGCAATATTGAAATTAGCTTGAATTCTTTATAACCTCTGAATAGTGGGTGATCCAATGGGTCACGGGTGGTCTAGCAATTCTTTAAAACTTTAAGATTCTGTCTCTTATGTTTAATTCATCTTTTAGCTTAACTTCTTTGAGTATTTGAACCCGTGTTTCTTCTGGTCTCCTAAAGATGGTGAAATGTTTTCCACCAAAATATGTTGAGTTTTAATTGTATATGGTTTTTGATTGTATATTTTCCTCTTAACTGTATACAATAAATTATTGTGCATTTTTAAACGTTGGAGTTCTTACTTATTTTATAAAATCTGTGCACAAGAACGGTCATAAAATATTTTGATATTATGCAAGCGTCAAACCATGTTTATTGAAATGCTGAATAAGCACCTAATGAAGATTTCGACGTTGAATCCGAAAGATCGTTTTAATAATCATAGTTGAGCGTATAGATATCCCATTAATTTTCAGAGTTACGTTAATTAGGACTGTACGTTCATACATTTGAGCGCTTACTCCAGTAATTTTAAACCGATGGAAATCTGATGATTGGTCATCCTCCACTATTAAGTTATTTAAAATAAAAATGTGTAAGTATGTGTTTAATAATTTCTCAGTGTAAATGTATATTCTTTTATGATTACTTATCCTTCATGGCTGTAACTTTATTTATATTATAATAAAAAATGAATATATTGATGAAGTTGAATTAGAGTTATAAGAAAATTTAAAAATTCTACACAGTGTGTGTCACTAACAGGAGTGATAATTTAGCGATTTTCCACTTTCTGTAGCTCGGACTGTGTTAATCCAAACTATCACATATTTTCAGTGGATGTGCTCTACTGGACTCTTACTTCACATACCGAACTTCAAGAAAATCAATTAAGAAAAACCTGAGATATAACATCTCTACTTTTGATTGAGTTTCTTCCTCTTTTTTTGTTTTTGTTTTTTGTTTCGCACCAAAAGTACAAAAACTTCATTTGTTAGAAAAACATACCTAACTTTTATGGATTTTTTTCAAATCTGGTACATTGATAGATCTTTACAACCCACAATTAGGAGTCTCATTGGGTGTAAGTATAAGACACATGTGCAAAGTTATTGAACAAAACCCGCTCAGATTTAATGAGATATTTTGCGCACGCCTATGGAAAAAAAAAATCACTTGAGCTATCGGTCTAACATTTTTAGTTTTTGTCATTCGGATTAAAGGGGACTAATTTAGAGCAGCAAACCTATAAGTTGAAAGGACGTGCAGATACTTAAGTATTGGTTAGGCCAAGCAAACTATATTAGCAGTTTCTAGCTCAAGTTTTCAAAAGCATCATACGGGTGGACGGTTATTATTCGTTATTCATTGCCAACTTTTGAGCACAAGTTTACTAAATTTTATGAAGTTATTCTAGTTAAAGAGCGTTTAGCGTCACGTAATATAATATTAAGCAATTAGCATAAATAATGATGCTTGAGACGGCTGTAGCGTTGTACCGATTACATGGGGGTGATGACAAGAAACTGTCAATCTAAATTCCACTGTTTTAAATAGGAAAACCTACCACCATATATTTTAAATAATCTGGTTGGTTATATAAAGTAAAGGTCTGTTCCGAATAATAGGGTTGCAATCCTAAATCTAATGCTGGTTACTATCGAGTGCCACTTTCTTATTTGGTGTGATTTGTTGGTGTGTATTGACAAAAATTCATGATATCTAATCGAAAACACCTTAGGTGTGAAACAAGATGCGTCCAAAAAAAGGATTGAGCATGTGGCTTAAAGGATTGTTTGTTTGTTTGTTTTTGAATTTCGCGCAAAGCTACACGAGGGGTAGCCGTCCCTAATTTAGCAGTGTAAGACTAGAGGGAAGGCAGCTAGTCATCACCACCCACCGCCAACTCTTGGGCTACTCTTTTACCAACGAATAGTGGGATTGACCGTCACATTATAACGCCCCCACGGCTGAAAGGGCGAGTATGTTTGGTGTGATGGGGATTCGAACCCGCGACCCTCAGATTACGAGTCGAGTGCCCTAACCACCTGGCCATGCCGGGCCTAGGCTTAAAGGAATAAAATAAAAATTGGCGACCAAACTGGTAGCTACACTTATAGCATTGATGAGACTTTCACAACAAATATTCATTCATTAGTTAGCTAGGCCGGGTAATTTGTTTTACCCACCATCATGCCCAAGTTGAACAAAAAACGCGGCTGGCTAACTAATGAATGAATATTTGCCTCTGAGCGCCCCCTAAGCTCTGGTACCCCCGGGGACGCGGGGGCATTTGCTCCAATTTAACCTTTTTTTCTTTCTAGCAATTTTATTTTAAAAAGATCAATTACATTTCAACATACAGTAGATAATATCACGGCTTTTGTGTTTATGCTTAATTCATATTTTAAAGTCAGTGTGTTTTTTGTGTATTTAATCTCAAGTATGAATAAAAACAAAATATAAAGAAATAATAATCATCATCATATTAATACATCTTACTTACGTTCATTATATTGGAGTTTTGGTTATGCTAGTCACAAATATACGTTTCCTAAAATCGTGTGACTGACACAGTTTGTGATTTTGTTTCCTGCGCAGGTGACCGAATTGTAAACGTGACAGTATCATTTACCAGCATAGTGTACGAGGACGCTTTGACCATTCTCAGTTATGCTTCCCCTTATGACGTACAGCTAGAAATAGAGAAAACTTCAGAAGTAGCTCAACCTATAGTTGGAACTAATGCAGGTCGGCGTCAAGGGTCATCTAGCTTCAATCGACAAAGACTTTTCCACCCCTTGTATCGCAGTCAGTCTATTGACGACCTCACAAGAATTGGAAAGGACTCTCACGGTCTTGCACCAAAACGTTCTCATACAATTGGTTTATTGACACACAGAAGAAATTCGCAATTTACTAGCAAAGAAAATGAACTGATGAACACAAACAGTGGCCGTTCAATGTCTGTAACAACAGGTTCACTGAATGAAAAAATGTTGGCAAACGCAACAAGAAAAAATGAACATTTCTCAAAACAATTATCTACGAGATCGTACCAAAGAAGCAAAAGGAGTTTGTTACAGGAGAATGAAGTTGTTGCTTTTTCCAAAGAACATTTTCAAATATCCCAATCTCTTTCTAAAAAGCATACAAATAGGGAGCCAAATCTTGACGATCCTGGTGAAGAAGAGTCTTGTTCATCACCAAAACCAAAAATAACGTTGACTTGTTCATCTGTTCAAAATACCCTTTCTGAACTACGTTTACATAAGAACTGTATGTCGGGAAATTCTCCCATTAAAAAACAAGGGTTAATTTCAAACAAACAGGCAATTTCTACCACCTTAAATGGAAATATAATTCGATCATGCATTGCAGAAAATTCATATACTGATTCAAGCGACCCGCAATACCTGAAATCTTATCAAGATCACAACAATTATTTGAAAGACGATTACTCCCAAACACAAAAAAGATCTACAGACAATATTAACAGTCTTACACAACATGCAGAAATAGAATCTTCGCTGATAACTGTAAACTCTGAAATCTTTAATGATTCTTTGAATACAGAAGATAGTGAAAAAGTAAGCATTAAATCTTCTTCTCTTGAAGACTTAACAAACGTCGAAGGAGCTTTGACTCAATCTTCCATTCTGCTAAAACGTGCCATCTCCCTAGATCTTAATCAACAACCAAGAAGTCAGAGTACCATTCCTAATCAAAATAAAATTTACAATAACCCCAAGCTTGATTCAAATAACATTAAAGATAATGCTTTTTTACAAAACATTACAACCACAAATGATTCACAAAATGTGGTGACACTAGAACAAAACTGTAGTGTTAGTTCAACAAGCCATACAGACAATATTAGTGTTTCTGCAACAATGAATCAAACAACTTTTACCCAAGTAGAAACATCAATGCCACGTCATGAAAATTGTTGTAAAGCATTTGAACTGGATCAAAAAAGTGATAAAGGGAATAATTTAAGCACTAAAGAAGTATCTCACGGTTTGATAAATTCAACGGCACATCTTTTAGCTGTTACTAGCGGAATAACGTCAAACACTTTACGTTGTAAAGGTGATCGCACTAAAGGAATAGATTCTGGTGCTGAATTACACATAGACAAAAGCCAAGTAACTTTAGATAAAAGATCTTCATACGTCAGTAATCAGGTTTTTAATCCAAGTTATCCTAATGATAAGGAAAACAAAAATGTTTTAGGAGTCTCCCAGTTAACTTTAATTCAACAATCACAACATGCCCAAAGAAGCTTTACACCAGTTTCTGTTGATATTCCCGTTATTCCTCCTGTTATTCGTCACGATCGTAGACAAGCTCCTCCTTGTGGGTCTCTTATCAGTACCATAGCTCCATTATCTCACAGAAAAGAAGTCTTTGAGATCAGCAAAGACGAACTTGACGACGTCATGATCTCTCACCAAGAGTTCGTAATAAATCAGACACAAAAACTCGGGAACAAACAGTGATTTGAATTGGAAACTATTATACAAGATGGTAAAAGATAATCAATTGTAGCTGATGAAAACCAAAATTACGAAGAAAAAAATCAAACCGAAATTATGAAGGCTCGGAGGAATGGTGTTCTGAGCAACATCACAGATCAGATGTTTCAGATTATATTGCAAAAGCAGTAGATGAAAGAATCACTAAAACACAATTGTTTCTGAACTTGGAACGTCCGAATATATTCCAGCTCAAGTCCCTGTATAGAACCACCTACCTAGATTTTGATGTCTCCCCTAATTCATTTATATTTTTAGTGCTGCAAAAGGTAATACTACAACTGCTTTCTTAGTGTTTTATATTTTAATAACGAAAAGTTTGTAATTGCCAAATAAATATAACCTCTTTGATTTTTTTGCAAGAATAAGTTAAAATAGCTGAGTGCTTGTTAAATAGCCTTTAAAACCTTACTTCTGGTTGGGATTCTTGACAGTTGTAATGTGTAGCATTACACAAGATTAGTAAAAACTGTTAATTTTAACAAGGGGGGAACAGGAATTGTCAAAAAGTGCAGAAACAAGTTGAATCAAAATGCAAAGATTATATTTTCAAGCGTACAACTAAGGACTCTAGAAAAAAGTAAACAAACAAGGCAGGAAATTTGTTTACATTATTTTCTCAAGCTCCAAGTCCCTATTTTTACTCTATCTCTACAGTACTTATCAATTTTGGATTTCAGAAAACAGAATCAACACTGTCGTCTGAGTAGGAAAATCTACTGTAGTAATCGTCCAGTGTTAAAAGTTACTAAAATATACTCGCGGAAATCCACGTAGAGACAGCAAACTCGAATAATGGTGAACAATAGTGTCTCGAGTAACGACATGCAACAGGAAAATCGGGAACCTTTCACGTGGCGGTTTCCAATTAATGCGCTAGAAATTAAACAAGTTGTAGTTTCCAACTAACGTGAACGCTAGGAAAACATGGGATTTTCTGATGGCAGAAAGTGAAGGACTTAGAAAATTTCGCAGCATGACAAAATAAAGGAGATCGAATTTAGTTTAAAACTACTCTCTTAGTTTTCTTGCAAAGTTCCTATGCGATCCCTCACTACAATACATAGCTTGAAATAATTTTATAGTCAAGTCATAATAGGGATTTGTAGCTTGGGCAAACCGTCAGCAGTAGATATCTAGCATTGTTTGTTTGTAGATTTTAGATTCTCAATTTTTAATTATCTTTTATGTTGTATTTTTTAAAACACAGCAATAGGCAAATGTATGCCTAGAGTAAGACACAACCCTCCCTAAGCACGTATAACATTTTACCAGTAGAAAACAATCTTTTCAAATAAAACCAGTACGTCTAAAACATCGCTTTAACTATAGCTACGTGTCTTTTAAAGTAATTATTTACTGAGCCAGTTGGCTTTGTGCCTGAGATTTCGTGTAAAGACGCGTTGAACACGCGTCGAGTACAAAGCGGCCGCTCAGAACAACATCACATCTATTATGTATTTATAACCATGTAAATCAACTTTCAACGAAAAATAATCAACTTTTTAAAAGGTCATGGACATTCGCAGCGCTTTATATAGTATTTTTGTTTAGGTTTTGGTGCAAAATATTCTGCCGATTTTGCTGTAGGCTTGTGAAACAATAATATTAATAATAACATTAATATGAACAAATGGGCAAATTTTGATTTTGTCTACAATCGTGAAATCACTTATTTTGCTTATTATCAATGGTTGGGTGTTTTTAGCTATTAAGAATGTAGGTTTTTAGTGTTCTTTCAAAAAGAAGTCTGCTTTTTAAGGTGGTTTTTGCCTGAATGTTCTATTAGTGTTTTGAGCAAATTCCTGTGCGATCCCTACTATGAACCACTATCATGGTTCATGATAACTGGTTGCATACTCAGAACTACCCCACTGTTAGCAGCAAGGTGATTTGTTTCAATTTTAACCTTATATTTTTACTTATTCAGAAATCTCATTCTCATGTAACTATTACAGGGAATTTAAACACCCAGTGTTTTCTCCTTGAAAAGAAAAAATTAACAATCCCACGAAAAAAATTGTTTTGTTTCCTTTTGCATATGGCAAAGGCCTAATAATGATAATAGCGAAATATTTCCTTTCAGTGCATGAACTTTTTTATTGTACATTATTTTGTCTTTAAATGTTTGTAATCAAATATTAAAACATTGGAGAGTATATTTTTGAAGTGTCCGAATTAGTTAATGATGATTTCAAAAGGACGTTTCAATCATGCAGTTGTTATTCATTACAAAGTGTTTTGTCCTTTTCGAGATTTCTTTGGCTAAATTATTGCCTTAAGTGTGTTTTTCCATTTTTATATGTTTGTTTATCTCCATAAGCAATATTTTGCCTGTTTATCTGTCTATTTAAACATACTTAAATCTTCCTTTTTCCCACAGAAAGGGACAGTGAAATCGAAACAGATAATTGTTCTAATCATGTTTTAACAGTAGCAGGAAACAAAAATAAAGAATGAGAAAACGTTATCATTATTATTCTATAAGTAAGATAACTTAAGTTCTAAAAAATATGTTTATTTTACCAACGTTTCGGCTCACGTCTTCTTTCGGTTAAAGCATTTAACAGCAACACATTTAGATGGCTCAATAAAGGTTTTTTTGAGGCTTAAGTATTTTACTTCTATATTGAGATTTGTACCCCAATATTCACTACATTACATAAAAACTAATGTTTATATCTTACTTGAATTAGAAGTTCAAAATTAACCGTTAATATCTGTCTGAATTCTCTAATAACTTAATCGTTTATTAAGTGTGTGGCATGATGCCAATATGAGCGTTATGAGTAATTTCTTTATTTTAATGCAACCATTTTCATAAAAGTTCTAATTATTTTTAAGATTAAGATATCTCATATAGATTTAAATATAATAACATTTATTTCGCTGATGAATTTAATTATATTGATATTTGTTCCAGTACAAAAACAATTACCAAACGTAAGACCTACAGAAATTCTAAAAGGAATATTTAGTTTTTGCTTCATCACATCAAAATAAAAGACCTTACTTAAGTTAGTGTCTAAAGAAGCAGCATGCCATCGTCTATCTTATATTGTGGCCCTCCAGTGGCACAGCGGTATGTATGTGGACTTACAACGCCGCTAGAAAACGGGTTTCGATACCCGTGTTGGGCAGAGCATATATAGCCCATTGTGTAGCTTTGTGCTTAACTTCAAACAAACAAACAATCGTATAATGTGCCCCCTAGTGGCACAACGGTATGTATGCGGACTTACAACGCTAGAAACTGGGTTTTGATACCTGTGGTGGGCTGAGCACAGATAGCCCATTGTGTAGCTTTCGTTTAATTTCAAACAAACATATATTGTAATGTTTAACTTGGAAACAAAAGTTATTTTTATCATGGATCGGACTCTGCTGCTAGAAACACTTATCACACTAGGTAAAATAAAAATTGTTCGGAAAGAGGAAGCAGGTAAGTAGCTTAATTTAACCAGCATGTTTTAGTTGTTAACAGAGTAGCTTAATTTAACCAGCATGTTTTAGTTGTTAACAGAGTATCTTAATTTAACCAGCATGTTTTAGTTGTTAACAGAGTATCTTAATTTAACCAGCATGTTTTAGTTGTTAACAGAGTATCTTAATTTAACCAGCATGTTTTAGTTGTTAACAGAGTATCTTACTTTAACCAGCATGTTTTAGTTGTTAACAGGGTAGCTTACTTTAACCAGCATGTTTTAGTTGTTAACAGAGTAGCCGGAAATAAAACGTGAGCGTTTTAAAAACCATTCAACTAGCACTGTATGTATTGTTAGTACTGTATGATACCTACTAAAACTGTATAAAATTCCAGTTAGTACTGTGTATATTGTTAGTATCATACAACAGTAGTGTGTGCATGGTTTAATACTATATGGTGTTTACTAGTGCTATACACATTCTAGTTAGTATTTTTTATAGTTAGTACTATACGATATTTAATAGCATTGTATTTATCATTTAGTGCTAGTGCTACATAAATCTAGTTAGCACTTCATATATTGTTAGTATTATACGATTTTCACTGGAACTTTATGTATTGTTTAGTACTATATGATGTCTACTAGTGCTAAAAAAATCCTAATTAGTTTTATATGTATTGTTAGTATTATATTATATGTAATAGCCTGTCCCACAGTGACTCAATGATCATTGAGCTTATAACGCTAAAAATCGGGTTTGCAGACCACAAATAGCCCATTGTGTAGTTTTGTGCTTAACAAAAAACAGACGATAGCTATATAGACACGAGAGCAGCCTTCATTTAAAGAATTAAATTACTGATTCTATTTTTAAATATTGTTCTATTATTGTAAATATGTCGCTTTAGTTTCTTCACGGAGCTTTGTAAATATTCAATAAACTATATTAGAAAATAACGTCGAGTCTCGATGTGATTAATTGGTACTTGTTGAACACTTCTGAATGACTTCTTAAATATAAATAAAATCACGACCTATATCTCGAGAGTGTATTTTTATTAGCTCAATATTTCGCTATTACAGCTTCTTCGGGAGCTATCGATGTCCTACAAGTTACATTATAGAAATGTCTCGTAATAAACTCCATTCTGCGTTAAATAAAATCAAGAACAACACTTTTTAAATACTACTCGAAAACACTGAGTAATAATAAAAATTACTATGTCCTATAACGTGAACATTTACTATACATACATATCCAACAAATTTGGCACTCAAAATGCAAAAAAAAATTAATAATTATAGGAATATTATAGTATCATCAAAACTTGTGTTTAATTAACGGCATTATAGTTTCGTATAATATTTTTATTATTTCCACCCAATGAAAATTCAATTACTTTACCTATTTCTGTTCAGCAGACAGAAGTATACTGGTACCCTTTTCACAACAATCTTAAGGAATTTGTTCAAACGTTTTGTGACAAGAAGGTATTTACTGAATACTTCTACACGTCACAAAACGTTTGAACAAGAAGGCATTTACTGAATACTTCCACACGTTACATTAAATGTTTTAAGCATTTGACCGATTCTAGTATGACCTTTCATCACCTTAATTATTTTGTCTCCGAAGAGAGACTACTGTTTTTTATTATTTCTTTCTTTCTTCTCCTTCCAAACACTTTTCAATCGCTCGCCATTCTTTCATTTCTCAGTGGATTAACTTGTTAGGGCTTTACTCAAACACGTTTTTCGCTGTTTGATTTCGGTCTTTTTAATAATTTTATGGACTCAAAAGGTCAAACAACCCAAAAATGTATATTTTGGGCTCCTGTGTGATCATATTTAAAGTAATTGAAACGAAAATTGGCACCAATATAAATTTTCATAAGCCAAACCCCCAAAAAAACTTGGATTTATCAAATTTTGAGTTTTAGAGGGGTCAGAGCTTACAAAACATAATTTTGGGAATTTCTTCAATTATTTGGCCGTACTGTGACCAATTTACATGGGATTTCGTACACAGCTACTTTTTCTACAGATCCCACATATTTACCAACAAAAATAGTGGACTTGCCCATTTTTAGTAATTAGATGGGGGTCAAAATGCTATAAAACCATAATTTTAGGGGTTTTGACAATTATTCCACCTTATTTCGGCCAGTTTACATGGGATTTGGTGCAAAGGTACTTATTTTTTATTATTTACAGGTCCCATAATATACATAAAAAAATGTCGGAGATGCCAATTATGTGCAGTTTAGTGGGTGCAAAGTTTAAATAAACCCATAATTTTAGGAGGGGGGATTCAGTTACTTAGCCTTGTTTCGACCAATTCACACGGAATTTGGTACAAATATACTTTTCTATGGGCAACACATACTGACAAACAAAAATGTTGGACTTTCCCATTTTTGGTAATCATAAAGGGGTCAAAATACCACAATAAAGCATAATTTTAGGGTTTTTGACAATTGCTCCGACGTATTTCGGCAAATATACATGGGATTTGGTACAAACATACTTTTTTTTTACATAGCCCCAACAGATATCTAGACAATTTTGGAATTTTTATAGTTTGCTCAATTTTTTTTCAGCTAGGTAAGCTCAATTTGTGATTTTCGTGAACTATTCATGTGTATGTCAGCCAACTTACATGGGATTTTGTACAAACTGGTCACAAGAAATAACATGGACAGTTTTCGATTTTTCTGGAGTCACAATCGGCCATGTTGGGATTGGGGCGAAGTGTACGATTTAGTGTACGAAAAGACGAGAACAATGGTTTGCCAGCGCTCGTTTCAACAGTTCAGTCGTAAAGAAAATCCATAAGCGCTGCATCCGACAACACGACTAATATGTGTTATTATGAAATAGCATGAATATTCGTGTCATTCTTGAGTTGCTTGATTATACAAGGGTTGAACAGATGTGTCCTGGAAGCAATTACTGCACACGTGATTTGTGTCTCTTGTCCAGATTAGATCCTTCTTAATTATGTTGCGTACTTTGCCTGGGACACGTGGACGGCCTTTGCCACTGACTTTATGTTCGTATATTCTCACCTGCTACAAGACTTTGCTCACCACTGCTGGGTAACGGACTTGTTGTAGGCCTCTTTCTAGATGGTCATGGT